CTCTGTTGGGTAAATGTACCACATTTTCCTTATCCATTCTTCGGTCGAGGGGCATTTAGGTTGTTTCCAGGTTCTGGCTATGACAAACAATGCTGCTATGAACATAGTTGAGCACATGTCCTTGTGGCACAATATTGGATCTTGAGAAAGAGTGTTTCCTAATTTTCTGAGAAATCACTGCACTGACATCCAAAGGGGTTGTACCAGCTTGCATTCCCACCAGCAATGCAGGAGTGTTCCCTTTACCCCACAGCCTCTCCAGCATAAGCTGTCATCAGTGTTTTTGATCTTGGCCATTCTTACAGGTATAAGATGGAATCTCAGAGTTGTTTTGATTTGCATTTCTCTGATGACTAAGGATGTTGAACATTTCCTTAAGTGTCTTTCAGCCATTTTAGATTCCTCTGTTGAGAGTTCTCTGTTTAGGTCTGTACTCCATTTTTTTTATTGGATTATGTGTTCTTTTGGTGTCCAATTTCTTGTGTTCTCCATATACTTTGGAGATCAGACCTCTCTCTGATGTGGGGTTACTGAAGATCTTTTCCCATTCTGTAGGCTGTCATTTTGTTTTGTTGACCATGTCCTTTGCTTTACAGAACCTTTTCAGTTTCAGGAGGTCCCAATTATTAATTGTTTCTCTCAATGTCTGTGCTGCTAGGATTCTATTTAGGAAATGGTTCCCTGTGTCAATGCATTCCAGAGTACTTCCCACTTTCTCTTCTATAAGGTTCAGTGTGACTGGCTTTATGTTGAGGTCTTTGGTCCATTTGGACTTGAGTTTTGTGCATGGTGATAGATATGGGTCTATTTTCATTCTTCTACATGTTGATATCCAGTTTTGCCAGCACCACTTGTTAAATATGCTTTCTTTTTTTCCATTTGATATTTTTTGCTTCTTTGTCAGAGATAAGATTTCACATAACTTAGGCTGGCCTTGATCTTGATATATAGCTGAGGCTGATTTTCAATTCTTAGTCCTCCTGTCCTCTCCTCTGGAGTGCTAGAATCACGGACATCATGCCTGTTTTATGTAGCACTGGGGATAAACCCAGGTCTTCATGCACTCTAGGGCAAGCATTGTACCAACTGAGCTACATCTCCAACTGTTCCTCCTCTTACCCTACATCCCCAACCCCTCACCTTGTTTCTTTTTCTTTTTTTAAAATAATTATTTGTGTTTGACTGCATGTATGTCTGTGTGTGGGTGTTAGACCTTGGAGTTATAGACAGTCGTTAGCTGCCATGTGGGTACTGGGAACTGAACCCGGATTCTCTGAAGAGCAATCAGTGCTCTTAACTACTGAGTCATTCTCCAGTCCTAGCTTATCTTGTTGTTTTTTTTTTTTTAATTTTATTTTCGAGACAGGGTTTCTCTGAAGTTTTTGGTGCCTGTCCTGGAACTAGCTCACAGAGATCTGCCTGCCTCTGCCTCCGGAGTGCTGGGATTAAAGGCATGCGCCACCACCGCCCGGCTTGGTTTTTTTTTTTTTTTTTTTTTTTTTTGAGACAAGGCTTTACTCTATAGCCTAAACTAGTCTAGAATTTATTATATGGTCCAGGTTGACCTTGGACTCAGAGGTTTACCCACCTCTGTTTCCCAAGTTCTGTAATTAAATGTGTGCACCACCATGTCTTGCTTTGATTTCTTTTCTTGTAGTCTCACACAAGTTGTCTTATGTCCCTGCATCCCTGTGGGCAGTGAAGAGCTGCTGGCTGCAGACAGGATATAGACCTTACAAGAGGAGGCTCACCTGAGAAGGAGGCAGGGGGACCAGCTCTTCCGGTGACTCCAGGAGGTCAGAGGCAGCTCTTGTGTCCTCCACAAGGCAGCTGGGTGAGAAGAGGGAAAACAGAGAAGTCCTTCTAGATGTTACTTACATACCAAGACAATGGGATGGGTGCAGCTCCAGCAGTCAGCATAGCTCACATAGTATGAGAGGCTATGGGTTCTATCCCCAAAACATGCTCACACACAGACACACATATATACACACACAAACACAAATACATATACCACAACATATCCCTACACACTTACTTTCTCAAGAACAAAGGGAGGTGAGAACCTAAAGGAAAAGTAATTCTGAATCTTCCAGGGAGGGCCTGGAAATTGCTTCTTAGGGTTTAAAAATACATCAGTTCCATTTTCCCTATACAGGGCTGAGGATGGAACCCAGAGCCTGGTGCCTGCTAGGCAGGTGCCCAGATCATCTTCTTTGAAAGGGTGAAATTTACAGAGTGAAGTATTACTTAGCAATAAAATAAGAATCTGGGCCGGGCCTGGTGGCACATGTTTTTAATCCCAGCACTCAGGAGGCAGAGGCAGAAACAGGTGATCTGATGGAGGTGGGTCTTGTAATAATAAAGAAACTGCCTCGGCCCTCATAGGACAGAAAATTAGGTAGGCGGAGTAGACAGAAGAGAATTCTGGGAAAAGGAAGCTTAGTAGAGGAGTCGCCATGATGCTCCCACTCCAGACAGACGCAGGTTAAGATCCTCTCTGGTAAGCCAGTTCATGGGCTACACAGAATATTAGAAATGGGTTAGAACAATATGTAAGAGCTAGCCAATAAGAAACTGGACCTAGCCGGGCCAGGCAGTGTTTGAAAGAATACAGTTTCCGTGTAATTATTTCTGGGCATAAGCTAGCCATGTGGGCGGCCGGGTGCCGGGAACGCAGCCCTGCCGCCGCTCCTATTTCAACAGATGGCGCCCAACGTGGGGCTCAGCACCCGCTCTTTAGACCCGCTGTGTCCGCAGCAGGTCAGGCACACAGGCTGCCAACTCCCCCTCCCGCAGCTGCGCGGCTCGGGACGCGAACGCGGCCCCGAACGAACGCCATCGCCTGCCCTTAGCCACTCCAGCGCCCGCCCGCCCGATTTAGGTCAGCAGGGACGGCTTTGTTCCAGCGATCGCCACAGCTCCTGCCCGCCTGTGAGTTTGAGGCCATCTTGGTCTACAAATTGAGTTCCAGGACACTTATGATTGTTACACAGAGAAACCCTGTCTCAAAACAAACAAAAAACAAAACAAAAAAGGAAAAAAAAAAAACCAGAAAAAAGAGAATCTGAACGGTAGCTCCATGGATAAAAGCCCTTGCCACACAAGCAGGCCTATGTAAAAGCTAAGGGAGTAGTACAAGAACTGTAATCCCAGCACCCCGTGACAAGGCAGCTGGCCTGTCCACAGCAGAACAACAACAGACACTGTCTCAAACAAGTGGAAAGTCAGAACTGACTCCATAGGTTGTCCTGGACATCCTCTGACAGTCACAGATGATGTGCTGCAAGTCAGCTCCCATCCACACACACCAAGAAAGGAAAGAGAAAGGGAAGAAAAAGAAAACAGAGAATTTCTAACCAGGCATGGTGGCACACACCTATAATCCCAGCACTCAGAAAGCAGAGGCAGGCAGATCTCTTTGAGTTCAAAGTCAATCTAGTCTACAGATCAAGTTCTAGGCCAGCCAGGGCTGCTCAGTAAGACCATGTCTCAAAACATTTTTTTTCTTTTTGGTTTTTTAAGACAGGCTTTCTCCGTGGCTTTGGAGCCTGCCCTGGAACTAGCTCTTATAGACCGGGCTGGCCTCGAACTCACAGAGATCCACCTGCCTCTGCATCCCAAGTGCTGGGATTAAAGGCGTGCGCCACCACCACCTGGCTTCAAAACAAATATTTTTAAAAATATTTTTAGGTGCTGGGGTAGCTCGGTAGAACACAGACAAGAGGCTGGATTCCATCCCAGCACTGCAGAGGGAATAACAAGTTTTACACTGAGGTCATTTGTGTGGCTTCTGGAGAACCAGAAGATTTTTCTCCACATTTTGCCGTTTGTTTTATATTGGTTTTCTTTTTGTCTCTTTCTCTATATGCGGTATTTCTTCTTTTTTTAAAGAGAGATTTATTTTTTTATGTATATGAGTGTTCTTTCTGCATGTACACTGTTATCGCAGAGAGGGCATCAGATCCCACTATAAATGGTTTTGAGCCACCATGTGGTTGCTGAGAATTGAACTCAAGACCTCTGGAAGGCCTGTGCTCTTAATCACTGAGCCATCTCTTCAGCCCCATAGGTGCTATTTCTTAGTGAACATTAAAAAAAAATAGCACAAGATGGATAGAATTCTTGTCCCTTCCCGTGTTTGTAGACTGGGAGGCCTCACAGCAGTGCATCTCCACTGGCTTAGCAGAAGATTAAATCTCTGTGACCTTCTGGGAGGGAGGATTAGGTGATGTGTGGCTCACACAAGTCTGCAGAGCCAACACTTGTGGCTTCATGGTGCCACTGTTAGCAAGTCTGCTGTGACCTGAAATCAGACAGACATACATGGAGAACTTATACTGGGCTGAGCACAAGCCTCAGTATTTTTTTTATTTTACTTTTATTTTATTTGCATTGGCGTTTTGCCTGCATGTATGTCTATGTAAGAGCTTGGAGGTATAGACAGTTGCTAGCTGCCATGTGGGTGCTGGGAATTGAACTCAGGTGCTCTGGAACAGTCAGGGCTCTTAACCACTGAGCCATCTCTCCAGCTCCAAGCCTCAATATTTTTAATTCAGTCTCAGTATTTTTAATTCAGTAAATGTGGTCACCTAGCCCACACTGTCTTCCTTAAAGACATCAGTTACCAGTCATTTTGCTCCTCCTAATTCCATTTTTCTCTCTCCTTCCTTCCTTCCTTCCTTCCTTCCTTCCTTCCTTCCTTCCTTCCTTCCTTCCCTCCTCCTTTCCTTCCTTCATCTCTTCCTTTCTTTGGGAAATGTGGTCTCATTATGTAACCCAGGCTGGCCTCAAACTAATAGGTATCTACCTGCCTCTGCTTCCCATGTGCTGGGATTAAAGGTGTGTGTCGTCATAACTGGCCTGTTTTTATGTGTGTGCATGAACATGCATGCACTCAGGGGTCAACCTCAGGTCTGAAACTCACCAATTAGGCTATACTGGCTGGACAGTGAGCCCCAGGGGTCCACCTGTCCTCCCTCCTCAGCACCATGCTGAGATGTTTTCACATGGGTTCTGGAGGTGGAAGGTCTTTGTGCTTGTGAAAAGAAGTGCCTTTCCAACTGAGCTTCCTCCCAGCCTGGATCGGTGTTAACTGTAACAGAGTTGGGCCGGTTCTGAGCCACCTACCTGGAAGCTGCAGGTTGTGATTCCTCCTCAGTTGGCTCTACAGAGGCAGCAGGTTCTGGGCTGTCTTCCGACTCTCTGGAATGGTGTGACTGTATCAGCATGGAGCTCTGGGGGCTTTCCTGGGGGTCTTTCAGCCGTGGGTTCTTAGATGGTTTTGAGGAAGGGAGGCTGTCCCCTGGTTTGGAGAGGGAAGTGAGGGGCAGGGATGCAGATCAGGTACAGCACGGTTGTGGTTGTCAGTTTAGCACAGGAGGGCCACAGCTAGACTATAGGTGAGTGGGTCTGTGTTGAGGGCAAGAAGGCCAGTTCTGGTGCTAACCTGGTGTTGGGGAGATAGGAGGGAGCCCCATTCAAGACCCAGAACCCATTCTCTCATGTGTCATACAATTAGATTCTTTTTTTTCTGGTGAGACAGGATCTTACCTGTAGCCCAGGCTGTCCATGAACTAACTCTCTGTTCTGCTGCCCCAGCTTCCAAAATGCAGGAATGATAGGTAGCCTGCATTTTGGAAGCTGATTCAAGGGCTTTATGTGTCCATGTGCAAATGTACCTGTCTGCGCATGTGCATGGGGGCCAGGGGTGAACATATAGTGTAATTTCCCGGGAGTCACTCAGCTTTTTGTTTGAGACAGCGGCTAGGCCCAGGGAACACTCTGCCTCTGCCTCCCCAGTGCTGGGATTACAAGTGTGCCACCTCACCACTGAACCATCACCTCAGCTTTAATCTACTAACTTGGCCATGACTGTGATGGAATCTTTTATTTACATTATTTTTAAAATTTTATTTTATGTATATGGGTATTTCATCTGCATGTATGTCTGTGTTTCATGTCCATACATGGAACCTACAGGGGCCAAAGAGGGCATCAGAGCTTCTGCAACTGAAATTACAGACAGTTGTGAGTCTCATGTGGGAAATGGGAATTGAGCTCAAGTCCTATGGAAGAATAGAGCATCCTCCGGCTCCTGAGATTACATCTTGAAGCACCTTGGCTCCAAATCACATGGGACAAGTGGGACCAAGCCCCCTCTCCTCTGGGAGAAGTGAGGCAGGTCTCAGTTCAAATGGTAGAACCATGTCTGAGGTCCCTACCACCCTCCCGTTCTTACCCATGGCTTTCCTTTTCACTTGACAGTGACAGTACTTCTGCTAGCCTCTGGAAGGCGTCAGGTCATCTCCTGTATGTCGGGAACTATAGAGCCCTGGCCCCTTGACTTTCTTTGCCTGCAGCTGCTCTGAGACCTTGATGGCAGGCTGATGAGACCCACAGCTGAAAGATCCCGAGAGCTGGGCGTGGCTAAGGATCCCTATATAAGCTTCCCTGGAGCACAATAAACTGGGCATTCTAGGCATTCTCGTATCAAGAATGACCCGCGTCCATGTGTCCATGGCTCTGTCTGTGTCTCTGTTTTTAAGTCTCCAGCTTAGTTCCTGGCTCACGCGTATTTGTAGTGGCACGAGCGCTACAGGACTGAACAGGATCATTCGGCTTTTTACACCTGACCCCTATGACTGAGCCACACACAAGCTGAGCTTGTCCTTCTCTTTCTTCCTGTTTTGACTAGAGGAATGTACAAGTCAGCACTAGTGTTCAGTAATCTAAAGCGCTGAGCACACAGAAGTCAGGTGGCGGTGCATGCCTTTAGTTCTAGCACTTGCGAGGCTAAGATAGGATTGAGAGTTTGAGGCCAGCCTGGATTACGTGAGAACCTTTTTCAAACAACAACAATAAAAACCCAATGGCAGTTGTTTAATTATGTAAAGATGTGTTGCTGTTTCACCTTGCCTGCCTAAGGCTCCTGATTGTTCTAATAAAAAAACATAACTGAATGGCTAATAGTTAGGCAGAAGAGGGATAGGCGGGTTGGTGGGCAGAGAGAATGAGGAGGAGAAGTCTAGGTTCAAGGAATAAGGGAGAACACCTGGGTCAGAAGCCAGGCAGCCACTAGCCAGCCAGACACAGGAAACAGGAAAGTAAGATACACAGAAAGAAGAAAGGTTAAAAAGCCCTCAGGCAAAATGTAGATAAAGAGAATCAATCAGATTAAAACAAGAGCCAAGATAAGGCTGAACATTCATAACTAATAACAAGTTTCTGTGTCATGACTTGGGAGCTGGTTAGTGGCCCAAAAGAACGCTTGTTATGAGTCTTTTGGACATTTATAGAGCACCTACTGCATACTGGGCTTCTTCCTACAACAAAATAGAAAAACCAAACTGGAATATTTTCTTTCTGGAATTCAGTCAGACTTACTACACAATTCAAGTATGAGAACCTGAGTTAGATCTACAATATGCATATAAGAGCCAGGAATAGAGTTGGGTGGTGGTGGCACACACCTTTAACCCTAGCACTCAGGAGGGTAGGCAGATCTCTGTGAGTTCAAGGCCAACCTGATCTATAAGAACTAGTTCCAGGACAGTTAGGGCTGTACAGACAGAGAAACCCTGTTTTTATTTATTTATTTTTTTTTTTGGTTTTTCGAGACAGGGTTTCTCTGTAGCTTTGGTACAGAGCTTTGGTACAGCTGAAACCCTGTCTTAAAAAAAAAAAAAAAAAGACAAAAATAAAAAAAAAAAGTCTGCCAGGTGGTGGTGAGCCTTTAATCCCAGCACTCAGGAGGCAGAGGCAGGCAAATCTCTGAGAGTTTGAAACCAGTCTGGTCTACAAAGGCTCCAAAGCTACAGAGAAACCCTGTCTAAAAAAAAGAAAAGAGCCAGGAATGGTGGCCTAAGACTGTAGTCCCTACTTTGTAGGGTCAGAGAAAGACAAATCCCTGGATCTTGTTGGCCCTTTTGGTGAGACCCTGACTCAAAGCAGAGTGACTGAGGAAACACCTGACACTGACCTCTATACAGAGGCACACGCACTACACCCATTGCATGACCGTGAACGTACTATAGGGACAGGATGGAGCTGGGGACCTGAGGTATGCCAGCCAAGTGTTCTACTGCTAAGCCATGCCCCAGCCCTGCTGCTGTGCATCTGCGGGGCAGCGCCCTCACTAAGACCCTGCAGGTGTCCATCCTCTGTCCACACCACTGCCCATGCTCTCCAACCAGCGCTGTGGGCTCAGGAATTCCTTATGTTTCTATGCCCCCACCTCTCCGCCACAAAAGACAAAAATAAATAGCTTTGTCTGGTTGCCTGAGATTGCTCACAAACAGTAGCTTGCTTGGTATGGGCAGGCCTGGGTTCATATTCAGCAGAGAAAAGAGAGAAGATTAGTTTGTTTTATTTTTTCAAGACAAGGTTTCTCTATGTAGCTCCTGGAGGTAATAGAACTCACTCTGTAGACCAGGCTGGTCTTTTTTTTTTTTTTTTTTTTTTAAGATTTACTTGTTTATTTTGTATACAACTTCTGCCTCCATGCATACCAGAAGAGGGCACCAGATCTCATTATAGATGGCTGTGAGCCACCTTGTGGTTGCTGGGAATTGAACTCAGGACCTCTGGAAGTGCAGCCAGTGCTCTTAACCTCTGAGCCATCTCTCCAGCCCCCCAGGCTGGTCTTGAACTCAGAGGTAAACTACCTCTGCCTGTGTACACTGGTTAGGTGACAAAACTGTTTTGGTAAGGATTAGGAGGTGTGGTCTTGTTGGAGATTTCAAAAGCCCACAGCAGGTCTAGTTTCAGTCTTTCTCTCTCTCCTCTCCCTGCTACATGTGGAAGATGTAAGCTCTCAGCTACTGCTACAATGCCATGTCTGCGTGCTGCTACACCCTCGCCCTGATGGTCTTGAAGTTACCCTTTGAAACTGTAAGCAAGCCCCCAATCAAGTGCTCTAAGTTGCCTTGGTGATGGTGTCTCCCACAGCAACAGAACAGGAGCTAAGACAGGTTTTGTTCCTTGCTTTAGAGAGTCTCTCACTCACCTGGAACTTGCCTAGAAGACTAGGCTGGCTGGCCCACAAGCTCCAGTAATGGACCTGTCTCTGCTCCTCCACTCCACTACTGGGAATACAAGCGCGTGTCACCATACCTAGCTTTTTTTTTTTTAAGATTTATTTATTTATTTATTATGTACACAATATTCCTTCCATGTATGCTTGCATGCCAGAAGAGGGCACCAGATCTCACCATAGATGGCCGCGAGCCACCATGTGGTTGCTGGGAATTGAACTCAGGACCTCTGGAACAGCAGTCAGTGCTCTTAACCTCTGAGCCATCTCTCCAGCCCACCATACCTAGCTTTTACATGGGTGTGGGGACTGAGCTCATGTCTTCTTGGTTACAAGGCAAGCACTTTATCAACTGAACTATCCCTCAATGCCTGGAAACTGGATTTTACCTTATTTATTGACTTAAAATATGTTAACATCTTATATTCTGTCATAAATTTTATGATATTTAATCATGGAAAATTCATTTACTTTTTGAAAAAAGTCTGCAACCAACTATTAGCTATACTGGAAATTCACTAGTAACGGTAACATCCTCTCAATCTCCATGTCCCAGCCTTACCTGTGGTGATATTTTGTTTATAATCTAATACATAAACCTTGTCTTAAGATCAAAGTGCAAAGGTAGCCACACTAGTCAGTCATACAGGCCAGGATGGTGGCACACACCTATAATCCCAGCAGCCACACTAGTTAGTCATAGAGGCTGGGCCGTGGTGGTGCAGGCCTTTAATCCCAGCACTAGAGAGGACTATAAGGCGGGATGAGACAGGAACTCGCTCTCTTCCAGTCTGAAGATTTCACAGAGGTAAGAGCTCTCTAGTGGTTGGCTGCTTTGCTTCTCTGATCTTTCAGCTTTGAACCCCTGTATCTGTCTCTGGGTTTTTTATTAGTCGTGTTACACTCACCAGTTTCAAGGTCACACTGGAACTTTGCTAGACCAGTCAGTGTGGGGAATGGTGGCCTCTCACACCAGGGGGAAGGGAGACAGATCCTGGGTTCCTTAAAACTGAGAATCCAGGGAGAGGAACCAGGAGAGAGGTGTGGAAGGGCAAGGACTTGGTGGAGGATGAGCTAGCAATGGGAAAACCACAAGGCTAGGTAGTTATTTTTTCAGTGCAATCAAGAAATGGTAGACTTAAGTTTTTAGTTTGAAGGGGGAAATGCATATTTTTCTCATTACCATTCACAGTATTTCCCAACAAAATACTCAGGTGCACAATAAACAAAAACAACAAAAAATTCCACCCACAAATATACATACGCATGATAGTTTAGGACATCAGGAACCAAGAGGGTCCCTTTTCTCTCATGAAGGCACACAGATGGTGGAGTCAAGTAGTGGTTGCTTGGTGGCCTCTAGCAGGGAACTACACTGTCGACAGGTGGGTTTTATTATTTAGACAGGGCAAGGTCAACAGGTCATGAGATGGCTAACCTTGACGACACTGTCACAGTTGCCATGAGTGGGGGTCAGCAGTTGACACCCAAAGACATACCCAGGGCCAGTCAGAAGACCGAGAGACACCTTTCTCTGGCTTTTATGCCAGCGGTAATCAGAGTGGTAGAGCATTTGGCTGGCAGCATGAGGCCCTGGTGCATCCCCAGCACTGCAAACACAAATCAAGGCAGCTGCATTTCCTGTAACTCGTTTACATGACTGGGAACTGAGGCACAGACTACTTTACCCACAATGAGGGGAGCAGAGCCCCACCAGCCAATCTTTTGAAATCTAGATTACAAACAGCCACACAGCAGTTGGTCTGGCATTGGCCCTGTGCAGGAATCGTCCTGAAACCGGAATGAAGTGGGAAAGACCTCTTGGTCCCCTGGCCTTAGGACCAGTGGCTAGAGGAGATGCTAGAGAACTTTCGCTCCACTGTTCGGCCTCCATAATTCCTGTTATTCTTACTTGCCTGTACTAAAACTTCACCATCTTTTAAGGAGCTTAAGGTCATCGTATTAGCATTCTGGTGAAAAGCAACAACTAAGTGTTATCGAGAGCTGGGTATGGTGGTGGTATGTGTGGTCCCAGCTACTCAGAAAACTAAGGTAGGAGGGTCACCCAAACCCAGAGGAGTTCAGGACCAGATTCAGCCAGATAGTGTGTGGGAAGGAGTACAGGTGCATAGGCCAGAACACAATGCCAGGCGTCATTCTTCAAGAGCCTTCTACCTTTGTGTGTGTGTTACCTACATGTGTGCCAGTGCCCTTGCCTGAGTCAGAGAGAGAGTAGCATGAATAATAAAAACCTAGAGACAGAAAAGCAGCCAGTCCACTAGAGAGCTCTCACCTCCGTGAAATCTTCAGACTGTCTCATCCCTCTTTATGTTCCTCTCTAGTGCTGGGATTATAGGTGTGTGCCGCCACTGCCCGGCCTGTGTGGCTCTTTTGTGTTCTGGTCTTCGGGCAAGCTTCATTTATTAAAATACCAATAAAATATCACAAGTGAGCATGTGGAGGTCACAGGTCAGTATTAGGGGGGTCTTCCTTTCTAACTTCTAAAATGTTTACATTTTACTTGTTTGGGTATTTTGCCTGCACGTATGTCTATGCACCACTACCACATGCATGCATGCTCTTGGAGACCAGAAGAGGGTGTGGAACAGGGTTTACATACAGTTGGTCGTGAGCTTCCATATGGGTTCTGGGAACTGAACTCGGGTTCTCTGGAAAAGCAGCCATCTCTCTAGTCCTACATCTTTTTTTTTTTTTGAAATAAGATCTCTTCCTGAACCTAGAGTTCTCTGTTGTGTTTAGACTAGCTGTCTCCACTCCCCCCCCACACCATCTAGTGCTGGAGTTACTCTCTCCCTGAACCCAGGGTTCCCTGTTGTGTCTAGACCAGCTGTCTCCTCCCCTCTAGTGCTGGGGTCACAGACAGGCACCATTATATCCAGCTTCTGTGTGCATGTTAGGAATCCAGACCCAGGTCCTCATGCTGGCACAGCATACACATCAGTCACTGAGCCAACTGCTCAGCCCACACTGTTTTATGAGGGTCTCTCACTGATGTGGAACTCGCCTAGTAGGCTAGACTGGCTGGGTAGCAAGTCACTGGGACAACAAGCACGGGCCACCATGCCTGCTATTTTAAAAATGAGTCTGGAGATTGGGCTCCTCTTGCTTTGTTGGCAAGCATTTTACTGAGCCACCTTTGCAGCCCTAGAGTGAGAACTTGTCTATTTATAAAACAGCAAAACATAGCCGGGCGGTGGTGGCGCACACCTTTAATCCCAGCACTGGGGAGGCAGAGGCAGGAGGATCTCTGTGAGTTCGAGGCCAGCCTGGTCTACAAAGGGAGTTCCAGAACAGGCTCCAAAGCTACAGAGAAACCCTGTCTTGAAAAACCAAAACCAAAACCAAAAAAAAAACAAAAAAACAAAAAAAACAGCAAAACACCTGGGCTTGGTCTACAGGCCTTTATGCCAATGCACAGTAAGAAAGTTCAAAGCCAGCCTGGGCTACATGATATATTAGGATTTCTATTACTGTGAGCAAAAGCAAAATCGAGGAAGAAAGGGTTTATTACACTTCTACATCATAGTCCATCATCAAAGGGAGGCAGGAGCTGAAGCACTTGGCTGTGGAGGGAAGCAGCCTCCTGGCTTTCTTATCTAACTCAGGACTACTTGCCTCCCCCCATGCACTATGTCCCCCCACTGAGCTGGGCCCACCCACACTCATCGTTAATCAAGAAAATGTACTACAAACTTAGCTACAGGCAAATCTTTTGGAAGCATTTTCTCAGTCGAGAGTCCCTTTTCCCAAATGACTCCAGCTTGAGACACAGCGACATAAAACAGTCAGCACACATGGCAAGAATCCACCATCTCAAAAACACACATCAGAAATAAAACGGTCAACTTGGGACAGAGATGTAGTTTCATGGCAGAGTATTTCTCTTGCAGGAAGGTCTATGTTCTAGGCCCAGTACCTCAAATAAATGAATACTAAAAAGCCAATTTGAAGGCAGACAGTGGTGGTGTCCTGGGTAGTGATGGCAGAGGCAACTGCATCTCCATGAATCTGAGGCCAACCTGGTCTACAGAGCAAGTTCCAAGACAGCCAGGGCTACACAAAGAAACCCTGTGTCAATGAAGCAAAATGAAACATAATAATAATAATGCCAATTTTAATAAACCAAATACCTGAGTCCCGCTGCTTCTTCTTCTTCTTATACATTTTATCTTTCCCTGAGAAATCTGAAAGCAACAAACAAATTCTATAGCTGTTGCCAGCACTTTATGTCCCCGCGTGTACCCAGTGGTCTCCCTCTTCCACAGGGCCCATCTGGCGGCCCGATGAGGGGAGTCAGCTTAATTCCTGCAGGACGCGGACTGGGGCACCAGGTCATAGCCATCTTGGGCAATGGCCAGGTAGGAATTTCCACCCTTTCCCTGTGTGAAGGAACTATCTTTGTCCTCCTCAGGACCTCTACTCTAGTCTATGGGATGGAGACCACTGTGCTCCACCCCACCCCCACAGCGCCCAAAGTTATGTATCTGGGGTGTGGGGTACTTGGAAGCTTTTGAGAGACCACTGGTGAACCACCAAAGTGACTTTAACCAGGGCCACCTGGGGCAGGGGTGTCGCTTCTGGTCTTCGGGCTGTGGGACTCAAGGCAAGCCAGAACCAACCTGGGCCACAGCAGAGAGACGAAGTCACTCTGTCCTTAGTAGGGACGAGATCAGCTTGCATCTGATGGGGAATAAATCGCCTAAATTACTTGCGTGACATTTTGAGAAAATGACCACATCGTCAGACATGGGATCGTGAGGCCGAATGGCGCTGGGGGACCTGAAGGCCTGAGGCCCGGCACCGTGGACGCAGCGCTCCCCGCGACCTGCCCCACAGTGACCGACAGCAGTAACACCCCCGCACTCCCACAAAGAGGACAGAACAGGGCACAGCGGCGAGAGCCACAGCCCTCCGCCCGTCACGCCCGCCACCCACGTCACGCCGCCTCGCCCTCACACCTGCAGCCCTCCACCTCTTTCCCGCCCCACGCACGCGCACGCGCAGCACCCTCACCGCGCCTTACGCATGCTCCTCCTCTCCGCGCGCGCCTCATATCAGGCGCATGCGTGTCCCCGCACTGCCTGCCGGGGATTGTAGTTTAGTGACTGAGATCCCGCGAATCCTGCGGCCGTGCTCCCGAAGGCCAAGGCGGAAGCCGGGCTGCCAGAACTCGCGAATCCCGGGGGCCGGGCTCGGAGGAGGGACTCCGAGCTCAGGAACACGGCGAGCTCAGAGACCCGGCTTCAGGGAAGAGGCACGGCAAGGCCAAGGAGCAGGGGCTGGTAGTACGGGCTTCGACCCGGGAAGATGCACAAGAGGAATGGACCCCCGGCACCCCCGGGTCGAGGCGCTGTCACCGCCCGCCAGGTGAGTGTGCGCCCCTCTGCCCACCTGGGGGGGGGCGGTCTCCTCCCACCCTTCCTCAAGGTCTCTCCTCACCCTTCTTCACACTCGCTGGGAGTGCCCCACCCCCAGAAAAGCCTGATTCTCGCCACCAGGTGAGCCTAGGGCCCCGCCCCCCGAGGTGAGGCTCGCTCCCGACTGTAGGGCCTACTGGCCTGGGCCATCCAGCTTCTGGCTCCCCACCCTCGTTACGGGGAACACCTGTTGCTGCAGCAGTTTCAGCCTGGAAGAGACAGCAATCAGACCAGCTTTTCAAGCCTTTGAATCAGCTGGGCCAGGCCACACTCCTTACTCCCATTGTATAGATGAGTACACCGCGACTCAGGGAGACCAAGTCATCTAACCAAGGTCGGAAGAATGAACAGGCTGGCCAGACAGAAATGTCAGTCCAGAGGCGTACAGGAAAACCTCCAGGACTTTGGCCCAACGTCATGCTCCCAGATCCAGACAGAGCCTGTGAGGTTTAGATTTGTCCCAACTTTGAACCAGAGAGCCCAGGGCCTAACTCAGTGTTCAGGTCTGAATCTCTCTGACTACCGGTTCCCTCCTGGCCTTGGTACGTTTGACAGATATATTTGTAACTCTGAGCCTCAGTCTTCCCACCTGTGGAATGGAGGCCTGGAAGAGTCCTTAAATGGCATGACAGTTGTAAAGGCTTATTGAGATATCTATGGAAAATGCTAGGACACAGTATGTTAATCATTATTCCCAGTAGGTGGAGCCATGCATAATTGCTAGTATTTGGCCAATTTGGACCTATAGAAAGGGTAATTTTATGTAACTCATCATATTCTATTGGTCATTAGCCAAAACAGAAAGGCAGGTCTCTAGAAAAGACCCAGTTTCAACGCTGTGGTCAAAGCTTTCATTTTTTTATTTTTTTTCCCTTGCCATGCTGGGAATGGAACCCAGGGCTTTGCACATGCAAGGGTTAGAATTAGCACTTTATTGATGAGTGCATCTACCAGCCCCACTCTGGTCCATTCTAGGCAGGTTCTCTGCTGCTGAGCCTTGCGCTTAATCACTGTGGCTTGGTCTGTGCGTCTCAGCCTCCTAGTCTCCCCAAGAAACAGTTTACTTTTAGAGATTTGGTTTCTACCTTCTGTGGGGACTCTCTGGATCCATCCTGGCCACCTGGGGCTGAATGGTGTACGGAAGGGGAAGGTCTAACTGGACAATGGTTATACCCACAGCTCGGCCTGCTGGTTGATTTTTCCCCAGACGGCCTGATGATCCCTGAGGATGGGGTAAATGATGAGGAACTGGAGGCTGAGTTCTTGGCTTTGGTGGGGGACCAGCCCCAGGCCCTGGAGAAACTCCGAGGCAAAGGTGAGATGCTCAACACACTTGAGAACTTGGAACTTCTGCTGCGGACAGCACTTGGAGCTGGGCACTGGGTTAGAAGTGGGGGAGAAAAACAAGACACCCCCCCGCTTCCTGGAGTCTGGGGTCTAGGTGACAGGGTCTGTTGTGGATGCAGCTGAGCCTTATCCAATCTGTTTTCTGCCACAACTTTCCTTTTTTTAAAGTAATTTTTTGTGTGTCTGTGTGAGTATACCACATGTGTGCAGACAGACATACACAAGAGCTGGTAAAGAGTGTCAGATTCCCAGAGCTGAGGTTACAAGTAGTTGTGAGCCACCCCATGTGGGTGCTGGGAGCTAAACTGGGGTCCTCTGCAAGGGCAGTATGTACTCGTACCCCAAGATATCTTCCCAGCCCTGAGTAACTTCAGTATTCACAGTGGCCCTACGCACAGTGTTGCTTGGTATTTCAAAGCTGGGGTGGTAACCCTGTCCCTTTGGGAAGTAACATGCGTGTTAGCTGGGAGCCTCTGGTCTGTTGGTCACCCGTTCAGGTGTGTGCACTGGTCAACATATACAGTAAATCTTTAGATAGAAGCACACAGACGGCAAGGTTGTGGGTTACTGGTTAATAAACCATGGCCAGAGGGCCAACAAGATGGCTCAGTGGGTAAAGAAGCTTTCCCCGAGCCTGACAGCCCTGTGTTCAGTCCCGGGGGTTCAGTCTCCAGGACCCGTGTGGTAGAAGGAAAAAAATGACCCTGGAAAATTGTCCTCTGACTTCTACACATGCACTGTGACACAATATTTGCACATATGCATGTGCACACGCAAGCTAAATAAATATAAAATCCAACCTTAGTAGTATTTCCCGGTATTTGGCAAAGCACTCTCTTACAGAACTGTACAGAGTACTGTTTCCTTAAACATACGCACCACGCCAACAAAAGCCTGCTTGACTGGTGTTTTTGTTTTCTGTGTTTTCACCTACTTACATCCAAATTGCATGATGCTCTGGATGCCAGGATAACATCTGAGCTGCCTTCTCCAGGATGAGTGTCATTCTGTCCAGTGTTGTATCTGCCACACAGGTGACCTGCTAGCTATCGTGTGGCTGTCCAGCCTATCCGACGAGCTGCACGGAAGCCTTTATTTTACTTGATCATATCCCAAGCAAGAATGTGCAAGCCTTGGGAGGAAGGTGCTGCCCTCTGCGGATGAGGCAGGGGCGGTGTAGGCTTTTCTGCTCCCAGAATTTAATTCACCTTTAGTTCCCACAGTCTACTGTGAGGTTATTGCTCTCCCGAAGCCCAGGGAAGTGAAGTAACCGCTCAAGGTCATACAGTGAGAGCTTGACAGAGCTGAGGTTCGAACTCGGGTGCCTGACAGCACAGCTGAGACTGGACAGGGAAGAAACGAATGCTTGGAGGTTGGGGTTGGCAGGTGGCGTCAGTCTCGAAGGGCTCCGCAATGGTGGTACGCCACGGTGCTCAGGGAAAGGGGTCTCTTCTTCAGGGCCCTGAGTGTGGGGTGGCTGCCTGAGGCTCTGGGAGGATCCTGCTCTAGCTGAGGTTTTTTCTTGCCTCCAGGTCCCTTGCCAATGGAGGCTATTGAGAAGATGGCCCGGCTCTGCATGAGAGACCCGGATGAGGATGAAGAGGGGACTGATGAGGATGATGTGGAGGCTGATGAGGACCTGCTGGTGAGCACAGGGCCAGGACATGTGGCAGTTTACCATCCCAGTGCCCTGGCCAGCAACCTCTTCCTCCTACCCTGGCCATGTATCCCTGCAGGCAGAGCTAAACGAGGTCCTTGGGGAGGAACACAAGGATGTGGAGCCCCTGAAGTCTGTGGCCCAGGTATGCCTTCCCTAAGTCACACATACACACACAGTCTGTGTTTAAAGGCTCACCTCTCCCCCCTTCTACATGTGACCTTGGGCACAGGTGACATGCTACCTCTGAACTGTGGTGTCTCCACCATTAGGGGTAGGAAAGATTGTTCCAGGGGAAACATGTGTTCATACTATGAGGGGCCGGTTAAGGTGGTCTAATTGGGGTTACCACCCATATTGAACCCCAATCTTCCTGTAGCCAAAGCCGTCAGGTTCCAACCCAGGAGTAGAGGCCATGTTGCAGGAGAGGCTAGCCCTCTACCAGTCTGCAGTGGAGAGTGCCAGGCAAGCTGGGGACAGTGCCAAGATGCGACGCTATGACCGGGGGCTCAAGGTGAGCAGGCCAAGGGCAGGGTGCTAGGACTCTGTCTGGACCCAGGAGCGCTGAGCTCCGAATTCCTCTCACTCATGCCCACACCCTGTTTCAGACACTGGAAAACCTGCTGGCCTCTTCCAGGAAGGGCAACATCATCAATGAAGCAGACATCCCTCCACTTGTTACAGTGGGGAAGGGACCAGCAGCCAGGCACAGCCACACCCATGCTACTCCCCACCTGGCTCCTGTGAACCTGCCAGCCACAGAGTCCAGCGTCACCTTGGAGACCCTATCTACCACCACACAAACCCCTGCCAAGCCTCCCGGTAAATGGTGGGAAGGGCCAGGGTGATACAGCAAGATCTATGTGGGCTCTTGAGAGACCTCAGAACATGGGCTGTGCTTACAATATTATTTGACCATAAAGGGGAATGTCATATTTTTTTAGCGTGCTCTCACATGGAAGAGCCATTAGGACATGATGCTTTAGAAGACAGGACACTAATCCCATTCCCAGGAGGACCCCAGGGTTGTCAGACCCATGAGCACAGGAAGTGGAATGGCAGGTGGCATGCTGGGGGGAGATCAGGAGGGAGTGTTTAACGGAGGTGGAGTTTTAGTTTGGAGAAATATGTTATAGAGTTGGTGAGGGTGGCTGCACTATTTTGTGGATGTGTATAAGGCCACCAGACTATGCACTAAAGAGTTCCAGGACAGCCAGGGCTGTTACACAGAGAAGACCTGTCTTTAAAAAAGGTAGTTAATAGGTAGGGAGATGGCTGTCAGCAGGTAAAGTCCCTGCTGTATAAGAATAAGGTTATGAGAGCCGGGCGGTGGTGGCACACGCCTTTAATCCCAGCACTCGGGAGGCAGAGGCAGGCGGATCTCTGTGAGTTCGAGACCAGCCTGGTCTACAGAGCTAGTTCCAGGACAGGCTCCAAAGCCACAGAGAAACCCTGTCTCGAAAAACCAAA